AATCGCTGACGCAAAAATCGTCAGAAAAGGCTTCTCATAGGACGAAGATATGTGTGGTCTGCCTGAATTTGATGTAAAGGCACAGCTGTGGGAGTCCTTTCGGATATGAGGAACCTCTCCGAGAGTACTAAGATGGTCACATTTAAGTCAATTGGTTCATTCGATTTAAAAGTGACGTCCTATTCGGCCCTTGCCCTGCTTATTACTTAATCTGTTTCTATGGCTTTTCTGGCACTTGTATGCTGTTTCTTGCTTGTCACATTCCTTTGGAAAAATCTGTGTTCCGTTTTTCTCCCTCTGGTAACTTGCAGCATCTTCATACTATCCCGCCGCCATGATAAAAAAAAAAAAGCCCGTTCTCATTCACTTTAATTTTTAGAACAAGGATGGTGGGATAACTCTAGAAGTGCCTATATTGTAAACTATTAGTGAGGAAAAGTATCCTGGAGCTGAAGTGAATGTCTGTTCCTAGTCTAACTAGTCAGCCAAAGAGGATAGAACTTTCTGCCTGTCTAATATCTTTAGATAAAAAGAGGAACAAAACCCATTATTTGTGGCCTTATTTTTCCACTGGCAATCCTTCAGACTATATTGTACAAAAATACTAAACAAAGCATCCCATAGGTGTTTATAACTGGAAAACTTTTAGATATTTTAAAATATCCTCTAAGTTTTGGTTTTATTTTGCAACAGAAGCACTTTTGTTAGAATCTCTTTCCAGATATTTTCCAATTTGTTTACATGCTGTTGTATGTCATAGTTGAAGTTAATGAATAATATGCACAATTTAAAAGAACAAGCTTTATAGAATACTAGTATTTTTGTTCATATACCCTGTCATTGGGTTTGTAAATACCAGTAGTACTACAAGAGGCCATTAGGAAGATCCTGGTAATGGAGAAGAAAAATAGTGTTTCAAAAAACGAAATGAATATTCTCAAATCATTTCCCATAAACACAAAACAATTTCAAGAAAAAAAATAACAATTCTGAGCATCCTCAGAATTCTGACAGTTAAACACCATACTTAATTTTACCTAGAAGAATACCTAGAATCGTGGAAGCTAGTTTTAAAATGTTTCTTGCAAAATTCTTTATGGAAAGTGGGAAATCATCTTCAATGAGGGAAATGTTGATTAGCTATTAGAAATTGTGTAGTGATGTCTGTTGTAAAATAGTATTTTCAAATATGCAGTATTTTGTAGTATCTACCCATATCTTAAAATAAGAAAATTGTCACAAAATATAACTTGCTATTTTAACTTTCTTGGTAGTTTATATGAACATAGTTTGTGGATGCAGGCAAGTTCAAATAGAATATGTTGTAATAATTAGAGAATCTGGAGGATGCTAATCAGCTTGAAAAGAAATTAAAATACCTTTCAGGGAAACACTTATTACATTTATTCAAACTGTTTAAAATTAAACTCAGATTTTGTTGAATGTATCGTGGTTGCTCTTTGATTTTTAATAATGTGGGGAACATTTTGATTTGGGTCTTGATTGAATGGAAAAGTTCTTCCTTTTTTTTCTTCTGTTTCTGGAATTAGGTGATAGGACTTAGCCAACTTTGGCTGATTTTAAAAAAGCAAGCAGTACTGAAGTTACTTAGTAGTTGAATGAATTATTCATTTGTTTGTCAAATTTAGATACCACCTATTTTACAGAATGACTGAATGGGATAACTTCAGGAAATTTCAGAACTATGGGCTACACTTGGGAGTTGAAGGAGGAAATTAGAAACTATTTGTGTATTTTTGATACTTCCCATTGGACTGCAAAACTGCTGCATGAATTGTTTTGGAGATAAGATGAGAGAGGACCACAGGAAATATAGCCTAGGAAATGCAGGATGTAATAATGCATACACATATATAATTGTATGTGTGTGTGTCTATATAAGAATATATAGCATATATAAACATATATATATATATGTTTTCTTAAGTTTTCACGGGTACTTACATGTATGGTATTCAGCTTTGTTCAGGTATTTTCCCACATCATTACAGTTGTGCTTTTAAAGTTGTAGCAACGTTTCGGCAGAATCTCATCTGCCATCATCAGGCTTCTGTATTGTGTTTGTTTGTGAGTCAGACTTTCACAGCTGTTTCTGTTTTAAATTTGGGGCTAACCTACTGCTGTGCCAGAATGGTTTTTTCTTCATCCTGATTGGTTGGGAGTCTTGGTCTGTGTTTATTGGTCTTGGAGATTGCTAGGTTCTGCTTGATTGGTGTTTCTAATACCTTCTGTCTGTTTTGTACCTTTTTTTGTCTTGATTGGCTGGCAACATTGCGTTTCCTGTATGGAGGCTTTTAGTGAAAGCCACAGGTCATAGCATCAACTTCAATAGCACCAAAACCCTAGCCACTATAGAAAACCCCAGCCACAGAATCATCAGAGAAGCCATAGAGATTGAAAAAAGACCTGAAAGCATGAATAGAAGAGATGATTCCACCAGACTGTCAATCATTTGGAAGCCTGCACTCGCAAACAAAAAAATCTCCACACCACTAGCCAGGCAAACACCTGGGCACAAACAGACCCCCCCTGATACCTCCAGCTCAAACACACCCCAACCAGGCACCCAGATGAAACCTAGCTTCCTAACAAATGATAGCCGTCCGTTTACTCGCAGCCAAGCTGCACTTCTCGGAGTAATGTGAGCTTGTAGCTGCTTCTTCCTTTTAACTGCTAGTGGGGGTGTGACTTGATTGGGTGGGGGCTTGGCTGTGTTCTGATTGGGTGGGGGTGTATTCTCATTGGTTGGGGTTTTGGCTGTGTTCTGATTGGTTGGGGGTTGGCTGTGTTCTAATTGGCTGGGGGTGTGTTCTGTTCAGGTGGGGGCTTGGTTATGCTCAGGTTAGTAGTCTTAGTTGCCGAGGAATTTGAGCTGGTGAGCTGTGATCCTGTTGTTTGGCTTTGCGTTCATGGTTGTGCCACATCTTCATGGTGGGCATCCGTTCACTTCATGTATGGGTCGGAGGGGTTTGAAGCGGGTAGTGATGCAGCTGCGGTACGGCTTCTGGTCCGTGGTCGTGTCTCATCTTCTGCGTGCGTGTGAGTCTGCTTTCTATGTGGAAGTGTGGTGGTAGCATCTTGTGTGGCCCTCGTGGGTGTGGGTCTGGTGTCATTGTTCATGTTAGGTACTCGTTTGTTAGTGAGGGCAGGTTTCCAAATGGCTGGTAGGCGGGAGGTATCATCTCGTTCATGCTGTGTGGGCGTTTTTCTATCTCTATGGCTTCTCTGATTATTCTGTTGAAGTGTTCGGTTTTGGCAATAGTTCTGGTATTTTTAAAGTCAATCTCATGTCCTGTGGCTTTGAGGTGTTGGACCAGGGAAGAGGTCGGTTGTTCTTTTTTGATTGAGTTCTTGTTTTCTTCAATGCGTGCACTTATTCTTCTGTTAGTTTGTCCGATGTATGTGGTGGGGCAGGCGGTGCATGGGATTTCGTATACTCCTTGGTTTTCTAACTCAATTCTGTCTTTAGGGTTTTTTAGGATGGTGGATATTTTTCTGTTTGTGCAGAATGCTGTCTTAATGTTGTGTTTTGGGAGGATCTTGGTGATTTTGTCTGTAGTGCCTTTTATATATGGGAGGAGGGCTTTGCCATTCTCTTGTTCTCTGTCTTGGATTTTGGTTGGGGTTTCTTTTTGGATAATTGAATCCTTTGGTTAGGAGATTTGTTTCTGTTTTGGTGAAACGTTGTGTTTCCTGTATTGGAGGCTTTTAGTGCGGCTTGGCTCCGAGTAAATGGACGGCTATCATTTATTAGGAAGCTAGGTTTCATCTGGGTGCCTGGTTGGGGTATGTTTGAGCTGGAGGTATCAGGGGGAGTCTGTTTGTGCCCAGGTGTTTGCCCGGCTTGTGGTGTGGAGATTTTTTTGTTTGAGAGTGCAGGCTTCCAGATAATTGACTGTCTGGTGGAGTCATATCTTCTATTCATGCTTTCAGGTGTTTTTTCAATCTCTATGGCTTCTCTGATAATTCTGTAGCTGGGGTTTTCTATAGTGGCTAGGGTTTTGGTGCCATTGAAGTCGATGCTATGACCTGCGGCTTTCATGTGTTGGACTAGTGAGGCAGTTTGTTCCAGCTATTTTACTATATTTTTGTGTTCATCTAGGCGGGTACTTATTCTTCCTTTAGTAGTGACTAAATTATTGTGTGAAATTAAGCATAAGCGTGTATGTGCATGTTTTTTTATCCTTGGACTAATGAACAGCCTCTTGGAGTGTAACCTGTTTGTCAAGACAGGAATACCATATATAATGTCTGTTGATCATTGAATTATTTCCATTGAGCAAAAAAACAATTTTCAAAAATTCATGAGGTACAAAAGGCAAGTTACTAATTGACAAAATGATCCTTAAAAGTCAAAGAGAAGAAAAAAATTTTATGGCTCAGATACACTATAAAAAGACATTTCCACTTAATAGATCAGAAAATGTGTAGAAATTTTGTAAATTAGTAAAAGCATTATTTGAAAGTGTAAATGAATGCAGGGAAAACAAAGAGATTGGAAAAGTCAGAATTAGTAATGAAACATTCCAAGGTGACCTATTTATAAAGTAGAACTTGAAACTCTACTTTATACTACCCATGTATTCACTGAGGATGGTGAAATTCGATTCATTCTAGGTAAGTATGCTCAGTAATTGAAGACAACAAAATTGTTGAAGAAGATGGATTGCAGCTAATGAATGGTAGTACTATAAGACAATTGATGTCAGAAGGAGGATATAAATATTTAGAATTAATGTACACCTCTGACTTACATGACTGAGTTAAGAAAATACTAGCTCTAATTATATAAGATGAATCTGAAAAATTTAAATTCAGGGAACATAATTAAACCCATAAACACTTG